TTTTTGAAAGATTCTCCAAATTAATGTTTCACAAAAAAAAAAAAAAAAAAAACATGCTAAAAATTGTATGTTATTTTACTAGTTCCGGTGATACAAAGAGAAACAAGGTTTTCTTTTTTGTTTTTGTTAAATCAAAATTTAGAATGTTCTAAAAAGAAGGAAAAATTTTTTTAAATAAATTTGATCTTTCCTCTTAATAATAATATAAACATTTAGACAATAAAATTTTGTTTTCGTCAAATTTGGTGTCTTTTTCATCATGCTATGCTTTTTTTCAACGATCCTATGGAGGTACCTAGAGCAGGAATACCTTTCTTGGATCCAAAAATGCTAACTAGGAGCTTATGGACAGTGATCCAGCTGAAATCCATAATGCATCGTATGAAATTTCTTTATGGCAAAGACAATTGCCAAGGCTTCCTTTTGAATTTAACCATAGTTTTGTTCACCAAGTGCCAACAACCTTGAGCAATGACCCGACTGTCGTTGGAAAAGATATGGGAAAATCACAGCGACAACGACATAGTCAAAAAGCATCCAAAATCATAATGATGTCAAAAGATGGATTATTATATGAGAAGCAAGTTTGAAGAAACTAAAAATAAATTAGCAACCTGTTGACCAGTTCCATGGAACATCCTTTTTCAGGAAGTGATTCAGGAAAGTATGAATATGGTGGAGATCTAGCAAAAAAGAACTGTAATGGTTTACCAAGCCAAGAAAAGTAGACTTGTCAATGAGAAACTCCAATCGATCAGAAATCCGTTAAGGGACGTAACTCATGTTGAATTTGGAGTTATCTCCCATTTAAGTTTTTTTTTTTTGTTTTTTAATCAGCATCTTGGAAAAATGAATAAATGAAACTATAATAGGTCTTTTCAAAACATTTTACTGAGGTGTACATTTACAAAAACCTGGTGTCTATCACTTCCAGAAAGAGGACATGAATATGGCCAGAACAGATTAGAGTGTTATAGCCACAAGCAATACAGTGAATTTATATTTAAATCAATGACAACACGTTCAATTTAAATATAAATTTTAGGTTATCAAAGTTACTTGGAACATCAGGCCAATTTTATAAGAGAAAATTTTTTTAAATGTGTGTAATTTATGATCCAATTTAAACCCATTATTATTACCTACAACATGGTTGCAGGCAAGATGTAATTGAAACAAAAATGATGACTGTTGGATAGAAAAAGTTATTAAAACCTATTAAAGTTAACCAACTCTCCAGTATTAATCATTAGAATAAAGGAATGTTTTGATAGGCTTTATAAATCATACCTATGCCATAGGTTATATAAACAGCTAATTCAACTAAAAAAAAAAAAAAAAAAAAAAATATATATATATATATATATATATATATATATATATATATATATATATATATATATATATATATATATATTTAATTTTGTTAGCATTTTTGCTAACAAAATTAATCTATATGTAATTTTTTTCAGGTTAATTTATGCACTGAATATGAATACATTTCATTATCTCATTCTGAGCATTAACTAAAATTATAAAATTAACACTGCTGAAAAGATGATAAATTTGTTTTAATACTTTGTGAATATCCAGATTTTTTTTTTTTTATTTCAGTATGAAATGCAAGACAGTTATTTTTGTCTTTTCTTACTGAAGTAGCTGAACATGTTACGAATGCTATAACCTAACAATAGGAGTTCTACTGATCAACTAGTTCTTTCTACAAGTAGTGTCTCTACATTCAGTTTTTAAACTTTTTTACTAATACAAATTCTGACTAAAAATAATCATTTACACTGATCTATAAATGTGATCAAATATTTTTTCATTTTTGCTCATGCTGATAAGGGCCAACCTAACTAAGAATATTAAAGGTTACTCTTTTATAAGAATTAACAATTAATTTTATGTATTGAAGTAGACTGATTTTTGTCCTACTTACAAGTGACATTAAGTCTTACATTGTTTCCTTTTCTATTGACCGAAATGTTAATCTTAGTGAAATTATAATCTTACTGTAAGTGAACATGCTGCTGCAATTTTTTCTAACAGTAAAAATGTTAAAAACCAGGAAAAAAAAAAAAAAAAAAAAAAAAAAGAGTGAATTTAACATTTTCCGATGGCAATTATCAATGAAATAAATTGCTCAATATTTTATTAAATATCTTAAGTTGATGCGTGCAGGTATATATATAGCAATTTAAAAAGTGCACCAATTTTAAATAAATTGGAAGTTTGTTTCCCAATATAAAATAATTTCTTTATTGCATTTAAAATTTAAAACTTGTCAAATAATGAATTTCTAACGTAGAAATTCATTATTTGACAAGTTTTCAGGATGTATAAAATCAGTAGATTTTATAGATCACACTTTCCTTTTCCTTAATCTGCAAAATCTACATTGGCACAATTGTTCTTGGGAAAGCAGTTTCGCCATTGTTTTGAATTCAAAGTTATGCTTCTGAGTCAATGATTTAAGCCATAGCAGAGGTGATAGGAAATTAATTCAGGTTGTTTCTAAGGTCATTAGTGCAAAGTGAAAATAAATACAATATTTTTTGTTCAATCTTTGGTTTGTTTGTTTTAGCAATTTACTTTTATTACTTTCATGTACAAAAATTGCTTTTTAGCAGATATACTGAATTTTTGGTCTACTTGGATTTTTTCAGGCTACTTCTCCACAAACATTCTAAAAAAAAAAAAAAAAAAAAAAAAAAAAAAATAGTAAGAGAAAGGATCAATTTTTAAATTTTTATTCCTTTTTAGAAAATTTGAAATTTTGATTAAAACTTATTTTTCTTGTGTCAGCAATTGCACTAACTGCTGACACAAGAAAAACAAATTTTATCACAGCAAATTTTCATTTCTTTTTTTGCAGTGACAGACGTTAATTTTGTAATTCTTGAAAAAAAAAAAAAAAAAAAAAAAAAAAAAAAATCAAATAATTGTTACATGCAAATTTTCAGGACTTATTCACAAATCATTTTTGATTAGAAAATCCTGGTAAAAATTTTTTCATGCCCCTTAAATTTATGAAGACTTGAGAAATTTAACAAGAAATTTTTTAGCGATTAAAAGCAGAATTCTTTGAAGAATTTAAATCAAATTACCGAATTTGTTTTGCAAAATTGAACCAGTTTTACTGAAAATATGGTCTGAATAAGAAAAAAAATCAAAATCGCAATAAAACAAAAGGTTTATACCTTTTGTTTTATTGCGATTTTGATTTTTTAATTGGTTTTATGAATAATTAAAGACAATATTTTCTGAACAAAAAAATTCATTTTTACAAGATTTTTCATTTTTTTTTACAATTTTAAATGGAATAATTTATGAAGTTTTAAAATCTTTTAAAATTCATTTTCAATGAGAAAATTCTTAGGAAATATTGTTATTAAGTAAAACTATTTACTACTTACTAATCATATATACACGATTTAGTATGAATATTCCTGTGACAAGATTTAGTATGAATATTCCTGTGACAAGATTTAGTATGAATATTCCTGTGACAAGATTTAGTATGAATATTCCTGTGACAAGATTTAGTATGAATATTCCAGTAAGCAAAATACTCTGTGGTGTATTTCAAACAGAAACTATATTGATCGGAATTATTTTTATTTTTTAAATTAAAAATAATCGATCAAACCGGCCGTTTTTTTTTTTTTGACACCTTTGGAAACAAAAGTTAATTCTTGGTTTTAAAAATCTTGCAAAAATATATTTCTGAAACGTTATTTGAGGAAAATTAGCAAATTTTAAGTTAAATTAATTAATCTGATTTGGAACTGGTATAAACGTTGTATACAAACATTTGTTCACTATGGGGTCTTGTTTTTTTTTTTTTCTGACGATTTATTTACATTCGATTGACAGCCACATGTGTTCATAGTTAAATTATGAGCAGACAATTTTTTTTGGGGGGGGGGTCGCCGTAAGGGTGGGTAGGGGTACAGCCCTTAAAACACGTGACTTTTTAAATGCTGGATTTATCGATTTGTACATCCATACCTCAGAAATTTTGCACGTCATCACACGACACATACAAAAAAAAAAATAAAAAATATCGAAATTCTTTTTATTTGGGGTCATCAGATATTGTAATAAGCTTTACAATATAGGAATATTCATCTTGTCATAGGAATATTCATACTAAATCTTGTCTGATATTTTTTTTTAACAAGTCAGCGATGAAATGCAAACCGGTTTCGAGCAGATTGGTCTACTCTACTGGAAGTGTGTTTAAGTGTTATACATAAAATTTTTTTAGTTTTTTGCTATGAATTCGTGTGAAGAAGCCATTTAAGAAATAATGAGCGATAAATTTTTAATCTTACATATCTTCTCATTCCCACTTGTTTTAACAAGGAGGCGAGAAACTCTTTCAACATAGATTACACTACAGTACTAGTTGAGCAGTAACACTAAATAAACATGAAAAATCAGATTTTTGTTAAATATTAAATTTTAAAAAGTGCACCTTTGAAACGCGCCTTTTGTTAGTTTTTTTATTATTTTATTTCAAATTAAATGACTTTTTTTTTTAAAAAAAAAAAAGTAAACGTTTTTTTGCGCAATTCCTCCATGGAGTAATGAGAGTAATCATTTTTTTTTTAAGCAAACAAAACACATTACTGAACTATAACAGTATACTAACAGTAAATTACTAATGGCAAGGGGCAAATTGCTTGTTTTTTTTTTTTTTTCTTTTTTTTTTTCTTTTTGCTAATCTGCTTTATGCCAGATATTTCATTAATCTGAACTTAAGAAATTTTTTAAAGTAGTTTTTCATTTTATCAAAGTTTAGACATTGCCGAAAACTACGAATCGGTGTATTACATACACAAAAAAGACAAAGGTTTATAAATGAATTTTCTAAAAGCTAAAAAGAAAATATTAACATTGGACATCTTTCAATCGCAATCGAAGAACACTTTGTAAAAATGTATAATCAAAAACTGAGTCTTACTTGCTCTGATGTGTGAAAATTTACTTACTTTTATTGGTGACTTTGATGGCCCTCTCATATTCCTGGCTTTGATTGAATTTATTCAAATCAGCGTACAGCTGTGACAAACTTGCCATGCTGACTTGGCTTGACTCTATAAACTTTTTCACCTCCACTTTACAAGATTCAACTTCCTGTTCGCTCTCTTCCTCTCTTTTAAGGTGGGCGGAAAGACAGATAAATGAAAAGAGGAGAAACGGAAGCTAGTTCGTAAATGCCACGTTGTCAGGAAAAAAAATACTTGAGCTGATTCTTTTTTTTTTTTTTTTTAAATTCCCCAAAATTAATTATTCGTTCATAAAAAGATATAATAAAAAAAAAAAACTTTTTACAAGAACATTAATTAATGGATGTAACAAAAATATAAATTTATTTGACAGTGAGAATTGTTTTGACAAAATGAATTGACATATTCTCAATTCAAATTTACACGCACTCAACTCAACCATAAATCTTAGTAAAAAATGTAGGTAAGGGTACCTAAAAATCACTTAAAAACATACATGATAACCCCCACCCCAAAAAAAAACATGATAAAAAACAAAATTAAATTCATCGTCATATCACTGTAACATTTTTAAAGAAAAAAGATAAAATTTTATTTAAATTTTTTTATCCTTAACTTTGGAATTTTTTTTAGTTTCGTTTTTTCTTTTTTTTTTCTTTTTTGCGTCAACATGGAGCCATAGATTTGTACAGTACATTTTGGCACTTTGCAGAGAAAAAAAACACACACATTGATTTGGAAATTCTTGAAAAAATCGAATAAGTCTTGAATTTTATAATGAATACTTATTCAGAAATGAATTGATTAAATTATTCTTGAAATGTTTCTTAGTTGGGAAATCTTTGAATTTTTTTGGTAAATTTGCTTTTTAAGCACGGCGATAAATATTTAAAATTTTCCCAAATCGTCATATTTCCGTGTAAATGTACATGCTGAACTCGAAATAACAATTAAATTTTGATAAAACATACCGTTTTGGAGTTATCGACAATAAAATTTCGGATTCAGTCTTGTTCAGCCGTTGACCATTACTGGCCTTGTTTAACTACATTCAGTGCGGAATAGAGTCGAGGAGGCCATCATTTCATATAAAATGTCACCCCCAATTGCCATCCTCGATAACGAGCATATAAAAAAAAATTTGAGACAGTTTTGTTCAGGGAGTGTCCCAGTTTTAGTTTGTGGCGTGCTAATGAGATTTGGTATAAAATTGTTAAGAAGGCTTTGGTGAAGGTTGCGTTTTTGATTAGCACATCACATTTAACTTTTGCAAAGAAACCCAAAGAAGGAATAACAAGAGATTATTCAGTAATCAACAATAACATGTATTGAAAAACAAGCGAGTACAACAATTGTGTTTAGTGAAACAAAGTTAAGAAAGAGGAAGTAGTTCCCCTTATACTGATGTGAGATTGTAAATATGTTAAAAGAACTTTCTTGTTTAAAATGTTCAGAGTTCAGCAATATGTGATAACTGAGTTTAAGTATGAGAAAGTTGTACAAAAGAATGATTGAATTCTGAGTTGGTTACTTGATTGTTGGACAGACAGTTCACAGCGTAGTGCAATTGTAATTTTGTGTATGAGTAGAAAAATGAGAATTCATGTACGTGGTTGATCTCTGAAGATTTACTGTTCTACTACCGTTCTTTTCTTTGATTTTCGTGTTATTTATACTTTCTGAATAGGTTCCAGGAACGATAGCGGGAAAATATTGAAAGGAGTGTTATATTATTGATCAAAAATCAACCAATCACTGTTTTTTTCTAAACTAGGTTTGGCAAAGTAAACATCAGAAAATTTGATGTGGCTGTCGGAGTTAACTCCTCCTTTCACTTCGTTAACCCTTTCACCAGGGGTCTCTCTTTCCTGGCTATAAATAGCCAATGACCCTTCGCCTCGCTCTCTTTTTTCCTTTCAAGCCTGTGCACCAACACCTCGAGATAAATTTCTCTTATTCCTAGAGGATTTCAACTATCAACCTCGAAATGTAGTCGCTAACAAGGAATAGCGTGGAAACACGCTAAGCACAATATACACACACGCACGCACACACAGAATATTCACACACGCACGCACACACTTCGTCCTTTGTACTGTTTCCATGTATTGTAACTTGTTAATAATATATATTTGTATATACATATATTATCGGTCTTGTTTTGTTTGCTTTCTTTTCCTTCTTCTTTGGACTTAATCAAAGTCCAACCTTTTTTATGTAGTTGGGCTCGGCGGGCAGGAGTATCTGAACCTTTGCGTTTCTTCTACGTCTGTTCTATCAACAACATAACAGCCACGCCATGAACCCTCAACAAACCGTAACCGCCACGGCCCACAATTAAATGGTGACCTGGACGTGATTTTTCAAGTTGGATGCTAAAACACCAAAATGGTTACTTTTCCCGATACATATTTTTCAACTAAAAGAACAATTTTATTATATATATTTTACAAAAACAAAAATTTTTAAATACACACCTTCACAAAAAAGCCAGATAAAGAAAATATTTTAAAACGCACCACGTAACACGATTTTTAGACAATTACTACTATTCAAGTTGTCTAACCTGAACTCTTCCCCCACTGGTCTGTATTTGGACCCTTTCTTTATCTCGGCGACGTTTGACCCAATTTCTCCCAGCACAATTGAAGCTGTACCGAACGAAAAACAACGCCATTTTTCTACCAATAACACTCCTCTTCTGGACTGAAACAGATAACGTGTGAACCAAACCACTGGACGACTCACTGTTCCATTATATACGATTGGTGATTCCTGTTGCGGGGCCGAGATTCTTATGGCTTAAATCCGCAAGGTTTTTTTTTACTTTAAATGTGAACAAAACAAAACAAATACGGGACAAATTACAAAAAAATTTTGTTATAAACAAAAGTGTTTAATTTATTCAAATGTTTACAAAAACAATTAATCCGAAGACTGGTTGATCGACGAACGTAGCTGGTTCGGTCGATTTTTTGCTGGTCTGGTCCGGTAGTTATAGGATTTTAGGCGAACGTAATGGTTCGGTCGAATATAGTTGGTCTGGCCTGGTAGGCAAAAATAGCTGGTTCACTCGATTGTTTAAAGGTCTGGTCCGGTAGTTTAGGATTGGTTTGAACGTAGCTGGTCTGGTCGAATGTATTGTGGTCTGTCCCGGTAGTTTAAGATGGTCGGCGAACGTTTTGGTTCGGCCGAATAGCGAATTACAGGTCCCTAAACAGGGCCAAAAGGCAGACCAGTGATGCGACTTCATGGGCGGATCGACCGCGGGAACTCGGATCACGAATGCTAGTGTATCACCAGGCGAAGACGGAGTCCCTTCTGCTCAGGGCCCTTCAGCACAGTTTTTGATAAACTCCCTTTAGCGGATCAACCGCGGAAACGGGATCGCGCCAGAGTGTATCACCAGGCGGTGGTGTTAGAGAGGTGTTTTTAAATATTCCAGGGCGGATCGACCGTGGAGACGGGATCGCGCCGAAGAGCCCACTATGACAAAAAGCACCGGAAGTTCACAAAGGTAGTGAAGATACACTTTGATGTATTTATTTTTTTTGTCGAAAAAATACAATTTTTAGCACAAAATCGAATTGATGAAAAAGGGAGGGGTTGAGGCTGGTCTTCACTGACTATCCTATACCTAGCTAATCCGATTCACGACCCATTCATTTACAATTTGCCCATACACCACAAGAACTCATCCCATCACCAAACAATCCTCCTTACACCATAATACCACATCCTCACAAGGGGGGACCTACAAAACGCGCCCCATATAATATAAAAATCTGATGATAATTGTATATATATATAAAATCTCGTGATGAGGGATGAGAGGGAAGGAGATAAAACAACCCAATAATAAACTGAAAATATAAACAAAAGTCAAAATTGAACATAACTGATGTTAGAATAATTGTCCAACCCTCAAATACTAAGAGGCCGCTGTATTCTGCCCATGGGACAAAAAATCAAGAAGCTCTCTCACTAAGGGTGTGGGAACGGATAAGAAAAAAATCGTTCGGGCATGGGAGAATATAACGCTTTGACATGAGACGAAAATAAAAATAAATTTAAACTGGGGAGGTTGGGAATCTCAAACTGGATCATAACCAAAAAAGTGGCCAGGAACAGGCCATTCTTCATTTACTCACATTAACTAGGTTCATCTATAAAGAACTCTAATATAACCAGGGGAGGGCTCCTCAGAAACCACCCCGATGTGACGTAGGAATTATAACCTAAAAAAAAAAAATCAAACATAGCCCCGTTCAAACGAACCAATTTTGCCTCTTTCACCCAATACATTGCTGAAGACTGTCGAATGCAATCGTTTTCTATCAGTTCTAATCTTCATCTTGAGCTGATGCTCAAAAAAATTGGGCCAGATCCTGATGAGAAAGACGGTTGCCTATATAAGATTTCCTCCTGTCACGTCGTCCAAATCACCATTCTTTAATTTTGGCTAGCAGCGTGAGAAACACCATCCGTTTCACCCCAGAATACGGGGGCGACACACTGTCACAATTTTATGCGCGATCAATGGGCTTTTCATGGAGCGAGACGAAAACCGTCAGCTCGCCGACACGGTCCCATAAGGGCGGACCATGGGACAATGGTAGAAGGCGTGCGAAGCCGTTTCTTCTAAACCAAGGCCACACCGTTCACAGTCTGGCAAATCCGCCAAACCCCATATGAAGACCTTGTCATTGAGAGGCAGCCGATTCCGAGCCAATCGCCAGGTAAGCGAAAACTCAGGGTTACTGAGATAATCCGCCGCTGGCGCCCAAGACCAGTAAGAGCGAAATCCTCCTCCGACAAGTCGAGATCCTCACGTAGGGGATCCTTCGCGACCCCCTCCACTAACAAACGATAGAAGACCTTCCTAGGCCGATAAAGGTCACTTTACAAAGGAATTAAACAAGGCCGACCGACACTCGCGAAAAAAAACCGATTGAACCTTTCCGTTACGACGGCGATCCACCCGCGAGCTTGGGGACTGATGGTAAGGCGAGGGAATGCGGCCCTCATAATCCCCTCAATAATTTTTATCTCCACCTGTCAACGCGCGGC